CTAGGTTGAGATTTACATAGAATAATTTCAACTTTTCACTGTTATGAACATCATGAAAGATAGTTTCCTTATAATGTTGATTTGGAATTCAAGCAATCCTCAATTTATTTTTTGAAATTAATGAGTTGTTTATCCCCCTCAGTCTACTTTCAAAACCATAATCTAAGACTAAATAATTATCTTTTCTCTCTCTTTTTAGTGGGACTTTACAAACATGAACCGAAGATGGATCATATCTTCTACTTCCATATAATTAAGTAAGTGAGGAACGGTTCATTTTGGTTTGACTACAGATTTGGTAACTTTAGGCATACAATTGAAACATATTTCTTTCCTCCCTTCTGTTTTTTAATCGACTGCCATTTCGAATTTTGCTATAGAATAGAACAATGACACCACAATTTTTGAGGATTGAATTAGGTTAAGTTTTTTTAGAACGAGAGAGTTGATATTCTAAAAGTTTTATAACTCATGTACCAAATAAATAATTGTATACAACCTAATGTTAACTTTCTTTTCATTCCCTATGTACTTCATTCAATGGCATAGGAATAAATGAAATAAATGACATATTTAAGAAGCCATGTTCAACCTACTAGAGCTCCAAATGTTGTGTCAAAATTGATCATATGAAATTTAATATTCATGTAAAGCTTGCCAAACTAAGAATATAAGATGAAGAAACCCATAGTTAGGGATGTAAACGAGCCGCTTAAGCGAGCCTAAGGCTTACTCTTTGAATTTTTTTTTATTTTTATTTGTGTCTCGTGAATAGTTTGTTCGTGTTCGGCTCGATTCAAACTTATTTGTTCAAATTAAACTCATGTTTGATTCAAAATAATAATTCATTAATATTCAAATTTAATTTTTATTATAAAGTTTGTATAGTCACATTCGCATGGCCGAAATACTAAGTTCTTTTGTTGCTCTTCTACTGCACTTGTTTAAAGGATTCAATTAATAAAGAATTACACTAATTCTTCAGCAACATTCTTTTCTATTATCTACATACATACCACCTAATTTGTATGTATTTACATTTCCAACACAAAATATTTATTTTATTATTTACAGTGCTTTCTAAAATTATTTAGAAATTAATAAAATATAATATTTTTTAAAATATAATATAAAATTTTAATATAAAATTATTATTCTAATATTATCTATTCAAAATTTAACTAATTCGAGTCAAATCGAGCTAAACACGAATGAGCAAATCTTTGTTTGTGTTCAGTTCGTTTATAAATCAAGCTCAAAAAATTTGTTTGTGCTTGGTTCATTTGCTTAATAAGTGAATCCAACACGAGCTACTTAGCGAATCTGCCCATTTGTTTTTTTGACAGCCCTACCCATACTCTTTGCCCATGATTATACATTAATAGTTTTACCTTGCACAAGATGTTGGTCATCAAGAGATAATTACCTTAGTGCTTGCAAGCTCATGTGATTCATCAGACAACATGAGCTTATAAAAATTGAATTTACTATAATGTTGCTACTCTTTGCAAAAGCATATAAAAGGATTTTCTTTGTACATTATTGATAGAAAATCTACTTCACAAAAGGTAATGATTAGATTATTTTGAGTGTTCACGATATCAATCATAGATTTCAGTATAAATAATGTATCATATTACTCAATATTTTAAAGGGCTTAGATTTTTGTTTCTCAAATATCTTTTAACATTATCAAAACTTCAAAATATTTAATATGCTTAAATTCTCTTCAATAAATGTTATAATCTACTTATCTGACTGGGGCTAGTGTCTACTTTTGATTAGATTCAACATCCCATGCCTCTTGTTTGTCACTTTTTTTCTCATCCTCGAGCAAGGGATAGGCAAATATAGCAATTCTATATACAAATGAGGTGTAGTGTAAAGATTCGTCAACCTCTATTGCTTTACTAGATGTTAGTTCACAATCCAGATTCTGATGATGGGTCTACATAAACATTTCAAAATTTTCCTCATCTTATGTTAAAAAAATCCCATTAAGAATTCATCATGATCATTGCCACCCAAAGGAATTAATTAAACTTACAATTTTGTTTAACTATAACATAACTAAATGTTAAACTATTTACACTACTTGTCTTTGCACTTGCACCTCAACTATCATATATATATATTTATAACATACCATTGCATTTTATAACTATGAAAAGTGAGCATGAGTTGGCCTCAAAATTGAGGATTTTATTTATCTTGTCAAAGCTTCCTATGTCTCTCCATAAGCAACATAAAGTGTCTCCCATTTTATTTTACAATGCATGCTCTTAATGTTGTTTGGATTATGTAAAAGAAGTGGAGCCCAATTTTCATTTCAATAAAAATATTTTAAATTTTCCTTATTATTTGCCGTTTTGTTGTCTCCCATTCAAAAAGCGGTATATTGCCTATACTTAGTGAATCAAGGTAAGCTTATTTGTACCATTAGTTGTAGCACATTAATGCCTCTTACCATAAGGTATGTATTATGTAAGAGAAATACAAACCCATGATGGCATCATTATGAGGGTCCACATAATTTTTAAGATGACTCTCATTTAGTGTTAAAATAAATCTAACTAAAAGAGCATATACTTGATTCACTTTTGTTAGAATGTTACTATCAAAGTATGACACCCATCGTTTGAAAAAAACTATTGTATGAGTTTTATGACTTGCACTGCCTTTAATTACACAAACGTATAATCTTATCCTCAAGATAATAATCTATAAATTGAGCATCAAGCTTGAAAATCCTTATCAAATGGACTTTCACATAGAATAATCTTGTAGAATAAGTGATAGTTGATCACCTAGAAGAAACTTATCAAAAGTGGTGTCATTTAGGAAGAAAGATCCTATTTTGTTGATGAACATTATTCCAATTCTAAAGAACTAATATATTTGCATATGAATCAACTTCTATGGTTTAAATAAGATTTTGCCTAAATAAGACTTCCCCTACTTATGTTAGAGATCAAGGTTAACAAGATCTCAATACATTGCATGCTTTCTTTATTGGAAGGCTCATTTGCGTACAACTAAATCAATATAACTTCTATAAATTAGTAGTTCAACACATTTTGCACTTTAATTGACATATGCTAATACAAGGTAATGTTTTTCAATCTAAAAAATATCAGAACCACCTCATTGCATGCAATAGGACTCATGTCTCTGACATTCTTATCTATCATCCAGTTGGGTATTATATAAATGAATTGATCATTAAAATTAGGGTCCATGTCAAGGATGATTACCTTTAAAAATTTTAAATTATTTGTAAGCATTTATTAGAATCTGACCTTAAGATTAATCTCCAAAAATGTATCTATATTAAATTTTCAAATGCTTATTGCTTGTCACAACAAAATAGATAAATTACTCAAATATCAAGACTAACTTACACATAGAGCCTCTGGGAGTCCTACATAATTACAATCTTCCTAGAGAAAACTCCTCATAAGAATTGCTTTCAAAGTGTCAAAAAGATGACTATTTTAAATACTTAGAAAAAACTTTTATTGGAACATCTTATTAATAAGATCAAGCACTAGCTGATGCACCCATCTTTGTTGCCTTGCTCGACTCTAAATTGGTTCCTAATTTTTCATATACTGATGTGTAAAAAGATTAAATGAATTTTTTATGTTTTGCATATCTTTTTGAATGAAATTGCACTCTAAATAAAGGTATTTTTATGTTTTTCTTGCACGCATAATAGTTTTTAGGAGTGGAACAAAGTGGAAGGAACTTAGAGCAAATATGAGGAGTATTGTAGCACAAGCTATTTTTTTTCTGAAGGCCAAGGCCATGGCGCCGCTGTAGCGGCGCCTAAGTGCCACCCCAACATTGAAGGCCAAGGCCATGCCGCCACTATTGCAGCGCTTAGACACTAGGTCATCAGATGACAACCCGAGAGGTGGCGCCTAGGCGACAAACACTAGCGCCATGACCCCAGATCTGAAGGCCAAAGCCATAGCGCCAAAACAGTGTGGTGCTTAGGTGTCAGTACCAAAATCTGCATGGTTTGGTGATGGTTCAGAGCAGTTTTGGAGAGGAATTGCTAAGGGAGGATGATTCAGAGTGGGAGAACTCGTACGGAGTACGAGTTCTGGGAGAGGTATTGTAGGTGTGTGTAATCTTGTTCTAAGCTCGTGAGAGGAAGTCTAGATGGGTGAATTGGTGTGTTTGTAAGTGTTTGAATGAAGAGTTTGCAAGAGAAGACAAAGAGCTTGAATGGAGCATTCTCAAGGGCAGTTGAGGGAGAGAGATAAGTATACTTGTATTTTTGTTTGTGGATTTCTCAAACATATTTGTATGATAGATCTCTTTATCTTACTGAAGTCTTGTTGTGTTTTATCCATTTTTTATGAGTAGATTTTCTTGTTTTTCCTTGTGTTGTTGAAATAGAAGTGTAGGAATATGGTTTAAATGTTGAAATTGTCTTAGATCAAAATTGTGATGATTTTTCTTTTGTACTTAGTTTACTTTTTAATCTAACTAATTGATCTGTTAAAATATATTGTAACTCATAAAGACTTGGAAGAGCTACGACATGAATGACTAGGAAAATCACATTGACCTATAGGGTATGAATCAAAACACGCCATAGGGAGATGCAAATATAGGGAGACAAATTTTAAGAGAGTTTGAATTGGAGTTTTTATGGTGACAATTTGGAATCCAAAATGATCATATTGGACTTCACAAATCTCAAAAAACCATAACATTACAAGTTTACCTCTAAATAAAGATAGACTCCATACTGTATGCCCAAGAAAGAGCGATGATCACTAATTAGAGCATAGCCGTCTCAATAAGCTAATAAAAACTCAATGCAATTAACCAGCTCTTCCAATTAAAGGACAAAAATAAATGAGTTCTATATAGGCTTCATAAAATGCCTTGATATGGAATCCATAAGCTTGGAATAATTATTAAACTTTTAATTCACCACAGTTTCAAAACCATCAAATAAGAAAAAAAAACATAATACAGCAGAAATTAAGAAAAAAAAAGACAAATGAAATCCAATTTACTAACTTTCAACTAACACACTAACCAAATAAAAAAAAAATAGTAGCTCTTAAAAAGTAATTGAACATTCCTGAAAAGATGCGCCCTTTCACAGGACCAGAATAAAAACAAAAATGCACCAAAAAATCAGCAATATCAGGCAATCCCTTCATAAAATGTATCCCTGAATGGTGACTTTTGAAGAAGAATCAGCACCCTGTTGCGTTGCATGTCCTTTTGTTGCTTTCAATATCGGGCCTTCACAGCAAGAGAAAAACAGGGGATATTTACATATACAACACACAATTCCTTTTATATATCCAACACCTAAACATTGATATTTGCTTATATAAAGCATAAAAATATAGCATGAAATGCTATATTTCAATTTAGAAAAACTTATCTTAGTGATATTTTGATATGATATTAAAGATTTAGTCGTTATATAAATAGATATTAAAATTTAGGTGTTACATATGTAAATACACTAACTTATCTTCCTTAGCCCTAAAACAACATAAAATTTAAAAAATCATAAAAGCGTTTAAAAAAATTGCACTAAACAAAATATGTTCTTAAAAGAACATAAAATAAAATAAGAAAAAAGATCCCAAACAAGCTCTAAATCTATTAAAATGTGGGGATGTTTACAAAGTGTTGTGAAATAACCCGAAAAATGAAGAAAATGACCATGCGCAGCAAAATATAAATGTACAGGAGCAACTCACCGTGCGTTCCTTGTTGCTTTGTCTAAAGTCTCCACAACGTGAATGAAAGCATGGAGAGCTATTTTTCTCACCTGTATTCATTGAAGCCAATTCAATCAGATCAACCAAAAGCTGATTTTTTTTTTTTTCTTTTATATTAAAAATTTTAAAATAGAAGAGGGTGGAGCATACCTCTAACTTATCTTCCTTAGCCCTATGATCCCGCGGAAGCATGCGGAATTCTTCTGTCAGCCTCACACACTCATGAATATTTTCAGGTGAGACAAAGTCAAGAGCAACCTTTATGCAAGACTGTCATGTAAAGAATCAAGTTTAGCTCCATATGTTTCAGATTTGTGACAAGTTTATATCTTATAAGGAAAATTTACATACATACCGCACAATTATTATAGATTTACATATCTACCACCGAAATTTTGATATTTATGTTAATAACATTTTGTTGTTATAAATCTATGCATGAAAATGTGTATTTCAGTTTTAAAAAGTTAATAATAGTGGTGAGTTTTATACATGTAAATATTAAAGCTTAGGTACTAGATATGTAAATAAATAAGAAATGTGGGGTATGTATGTAAATGCCCGGCTTAAAATTCATGAACATTATTCTTGAATCACAGTTGAGAATAAAGCAAATGTTACTAAAATGCATAGGTGCAAGAAAATAGTTAATTAGACAAATACGAGAGGAATCAGGTTCTGGGAACTGAATTATTATCAAATATCAGAGTAATATTATAAAGATGAATTTCATTTTTTTTCTATTTCTTTGGACAATGGTATTTGAATTTAAATTCAGGTTTAAAAAAAAGCAGTTAAAATCATCATTTAGTTTGAATTTATGGAATTTATTGAATTATTCTTGCAGAAAATACATTTATTGTAAAATTTGTTAAGAAAAGGATAATGATTTTTTTCCTGTTGTAATTTCCTATAAATAAACTTAATTTGCAGTCGAAAAAACAAGAGAGAAAGTCTCCTCATTCCTTTATTTTCCTTTCGCATTTCCAGCAATCAGTTTCCTTTAAATTTTTGCACTCCTACAGCAGGTTCAAAAAATATCAAAATTGGTAGAAATATAGTCAAACTCAACCAACCAACCTTCCTTTTGCTCTCTAAACAAAAAGCACTCGATAAACACACTAAATAACTCCAAATCCTTAATCCTAATACTCCTAGCTTTCCAAAGGGTTCTTGTATCTCGTATAACTCTAAACCTAACTTCCCCTTAAGCTCCTCATAAATCAGCCATAAAAAATTAACCGATATATAAGAGTTAACAAAACAATTTATTTTGTTAACAAAATAAATCAACAAAATAAATTTTGTTTCCAATCATTCCAACAAAAAAGTTAAAATCATGGTGGTCACTTATGCTGATACTTGGTTTGAAGACCAAAAATAAACGTTCTTAAATACTTAATTCTATTCTAATTATTTTCTTTATATTGATAAAGCGGAAGTAATTATATTAGCTTAAATCAAATGACTGCTCACAATTCAATTGCATCTTATTGTTTGCAAATTTCCCTTCTATAATCAGTAGATATTAATTTCCTACCATATCATACTTGTAAATTTCCCTTCTATAATCAATGTACTATATCATACATTTTCCATTTGCATTTTCAAAGTTCTTTCCAATATTACAAATTATATCCTAAAAGATAGATATTTTGAAGTGAAAGAGAACTGATGTGGGACAAGTTTAGCACAGACTAATCATCAAAACTATGACTGCTAGGAAATATTTTTCTCTTAAATTTATCATATTTTATTATTTTCATTATGTCTTTTCATTTGAACTCAAAAAATAATATCATTTTTTAAGTAAAAATGTCATAACTAAAAAAATAAAATGTTAATTAGAAATTTACTGCAAGCGAAATCCACAACAAAACATCGCATTTACCACCTTGGTTTGCTAAGTTAAGAAAACCAAGTCAAAACATAAATAGCTAACCACCTTTTAAGACTTCTACAAGGCTATTCTATCTTCTTAAAACTCAATAGAATGGAATTCAATACCTTTAATTTGAAGGATGGAGTTATAGAACCGAAGGCAAACTTTAAGATGTGTTCATTATATATTGATAGCACTTTAAATTCCTCATCTTTTTCTTATATTATAAAGAGGGGTGTCAAAAAATGACTCTACACACAAACTTAACTTGAACTCAACTTAAAAAATCCAGGTTCAGGTTGACCCGAATAATTTTTGGGATGGGTTCGAGTTAGGAAACCCAACCAATTTAATTTTCAAGTTGGGTTTGAAATGACCTGAAAATCTAAAATTGACTCGACACTGAAGTAATGACCCAAAATTGATTTGAAATTGACCCACCAACCAAAATCGAATTGAAATTAATCTGAAATTCATCTGAATAGCTATTATGATTTATGTTAAAGGAGTTATACAGGTCGGCGGATTGAATGCAGGTCGGATTCAGGTTGAACTTTCTGACTCGTCTAATATTCATGTGGGGTTTGGGAAGGGCGGGTCAAACCCGAATACGTCCCGCGAACCCAATTTGACACCTCAACTTATAAATAATATGTATTATGTAAGAAAATGACAATTAAAGTGAAATATAATTTTTTAAATAATTTTTAACTTTTTGAGAAAAAGCCATTGAGAACCTTTAATATTGATCCGATGATTCAGAAGATAACTCCTTATTAAGAACTTCAATCCTTGTCATTTTTATTTTATTTTATTATTTTTTTCTATAATTCTCATCTATACATCTATTTCAAGTGCTCCAAACCTTTCATCAAGTTTCCACACTCCAATAATTTACAAAATACCTAAAATATCCCAAATATGCTTAAGTTTAGTCAACTAACCTTCCTTTTGCCCTCCAAAGAAAACCTTTCATAAAACCACACTAAATAACTCCAAATCCTTGTACGTCATATAACTCCAAATTTAATTTAATCCATCCAAAAACAACAACAACAACAACAAACCTTTATCCGACTAACTGGGGTCGACTACATGAATCCTTTTTCTCAATTGGGTCCTATTCAGTGTCATCTTTTCATTTAATTCTAATAAATTAAGATCATTTTTTATGCAATATGCCCGAGACTTTTTAGGTCTACCTCTAAGTTTCTTAACATAAGTTGAATGTATAACATCCTACTCTCCTCACCGGATCATCAGATGGCCGACGTTTAATGTGACCAAACCATTTAAAACAACTCTCTCTAATTTGTCTGTCATTGGAGCTACACCAACCCTTTCACGAATACATTCGTTTCACATTTTGTCTCTAGGCGTCAAGTCACTCATCCAACAAAGCATTCTCATCTCAACAACACCTAACTTAGTTTTATGCTTCTCTTTCAAAGGCCAATATTCTGCATCATGAAGCATTGCAGGCCTCACCACAATCTTATAAAATTTTTTTTTAAGTCTAAGGTGTATTTTTCTTTCGCACAATAGGCCCGATGCATTCCTACTAAATTGGATGAATGAAAGTCCCACTAAAGAAATAAAATCACTAAATACAAAAACACTTGCAAATATTAATCATTTGTATGATTATAAGATAGGTATTTTACAAAAGGAATAGGCATATTAAAGAAAAAGAGGTGTGCTAGACTTTTAGATAAAAAAGAGTAATTATATTTCTAAATTGTAAGAAATATTTGGGATAATTACATACATAGCACCCGAAACATTGTTATCTACAAAATCAAGCATCCAAATAATATTTTTGAACTACCAAACCGGTGTTTTAATACGTGCCACAATAAAAAAATTGACAATTTAATAAAAATGATAAATATGGTTTGGGGTTTTATCATGAATTTTGATATATGAGTGAGAATTTAAAAAATTGATGAAAGAGGGTGCTATATTTGTAAATAATAATGTTTCTATTGCTATACATGTAATTGCCCCTAAATATTTTCATTTTCTCTGGATTGATTGTACTAGTTTCTCTTAAACCCTTTACATGCCCTGGAAAAATATTTCAATCGTTGCAAAAGTATAAGTCTCTTCTTCATTTATGCTCCACCATATTACACATTTAAAGTTTAATACTCTTCATATCATTTAATATCAAATGATTACCTCATCAAAACAAGATAAATGGTGCAAATGTTAGATAAAAAAAAAAGAAAAAAGTAATACTTGTCATATGAAAAAGATTGCATGTGCATGTCAAAATGATAGAGTTCACCCCCTTATGGTACTAGCTAGGGACGCAATATCCATAAAAGTCAGACTAAGTAATAAAATACCTCTCATATTTTACCCTTTGTGTGTGATTGTCTTCCAATACCTTCTACGACTGGCACGCAATAATACCCTGACTAACCCCAGGTCCGATAGAAGAAAGCCTACAGCCAATCGAGTAGAAATAACGAAAGTGGAAAAAATAAGTGGATTTATGGTAAGTTTTTTGCACCAAGAAAAAAAAGGTCAATGATGTAACCAACCAATGAATTAGTTTTAATCTTTTTTTTTTCTACGTTTGCTTCTACTAAATTATATTACCACATCTTTTTTTAGTTTTTGGTCTTTCTCACTAAAATCTATTGGGTCCAAGTGGTTAAAAGCTCCAAATGAAATTCCGAATATTACTGAATTACCAGAACTACTTCAATGTATTATATTTCATTTCTACCTTATGTAAATAAATATGTATATGGTTTTAGTCTTTCTATTTCCATGCTTTAAAATTATTTTTTTCTTTCTTTTTCATTCAATTCACAACAAACGACAATATAGAAAAATGACCGATATGGGAATCCATCTAAATTCTGTGGCTAGGAAAAAAAAAGATAGGCTAATTACCATCGAGTAAATAACACTCTTGTATTCTTCCATTAAATAAATCATATGCACTTTTTATTATATTATATTGTATTTTAGAACTATTCTTCAAAACATACACAAGGATGATACTCATAGGCATTACATATACATGATCACCAACCTATCTTTCTCTTCCAAATTATTCAATATCATCTATTTTTCATTATATATAGATACATGTAGCTATTGACATTTTATTCTCCATCCCGATGGATTATATTGAGCAACCACGCATTGCTTGAATTGGGATAAGCTTCAAAAATTCAAAAAAGACTATTTCAAAAGTGGGTTAATGATGAAGCTCCATGGTTCCACCTATATAAGCTCCAGACGGAGTTACAAAAATGAGAGCTTCAACACCACTTGTAAATAATCCAAGAAATATAATAGGTATATGAACTACTGAAAATACTAAAGAAACAAAAAACACTAATTCATCAGCCAATATATTCTCAAAAAATTGAAAACTAAAAGATAAAGAATTTGTTAAATCTTCTAGAGCATGAATTGGTAAAAGTATTATCAAGAAAATCACCTTATGATATTAGCTAGGCACATGATATGCCTGTGCATTTAAATGTAAAGAGAAAAGGTTGCCTACCCTTTTGAAATTTGGTTTTGAAAATGGTTACAAAAAGTGTCTTTATTATACACATTTAAACGATGACTCGTGAAATGGGTGTACAAAAAGATAAGTTATAAAAAATTATAATATGAAAACTAAGATAATTATCAGTGCAATTTATCTCTCATTAGAATTTTGTGAGTCAAGCCGACTCGTGAGCCGGCTTGAGCTCGGCTCGATAAGTGGCTTGTGAACTAAGCTCGATGAGCTAACAAGCCAAGCCCATGCTAGCCCCGGCTCGAACCGCTAGCTTGTGAACCGGCTTGTTTAAAAAAATATTAATATAAAATATAATCAAAATATATTAAATTTGAAAACTTTATATTTAAAGTATTTAATTTGTTTAAAAAATAATATTTTTTATTTTATATTAAATGATTTCTTATTTTTTTCTTTCTTAATTGTTCGTTGTATTTGTCATTTTATCATAACACTACCTTAAATTAATAATATTTTTCTCTTTTATGATAAATAAACAGGCTTGTCAGCCGACTCAAACTCAATAAAACTAATCAAGCTCAAACTAAGGGTGGCTCGAACTTGACTCAACTCGTTCACACCCCTAAAAATACTATTTATTGAATACAAAATACTCATGCATATAAATTTTTAATTATTAAATCTTTATAATTTAGCAACAAATTTGTTTAACTCACAAAATAGTTGATGAATATTTTCAAATAAGTCTCATTTAAATTGAATGGATGATACAAAATAATTTATTTATAGATAGTGGACAAGTACAAAAAATAAGTACTATAATAAGTGTCTTTTCGATCAATTATAAATTTGAAAAAAAATAATTTGGATGTAATTTAGTGCCGAAGTTATTAATGAATTTTTTTTGTATATAATTGGTGCTTTTAAGAATTGTAAGATTTTTATATTTTAAAAACTTCAAAAACATTTAGTTAAGTTAACTTTCAATCTGACGATCGATTCCTATCATGATAATTTTAACCTTTCCGATCGAGTCGTGACATGCTCCTGCAAGTATTTTGTTGCCACATATAGCTGTTTTGCTCCGCAGTTGCTACCCTACTATTATTAACGCATTGCACTGAATCATGCTGCTACCAATGCATTGCGTGGAATTATGCATCATCTTGCTATTTTCATGGAAAAACTGAACATGATACAGCCGCTAGTCGATTTCAAGTGAATTATAAACAAAAAAACAAAGGGAACTTTACCAACAGTAAGGGAATTAAATTAAGAAGAACGCCTATGTATCATCAATTTTACATGAAAATTTAAATGAAAAAGAAACTTCACTACTGAACCAATATCATTGTGCTTAGTGCTAATCAAAGGTCAAAAAGTGCATAAAGCTAACACATAACTTAGAAACATACCTTCAAGTTTCTAACCTGATGCGGGCATCCCGCTGGGATGAATACAGCCTCTCCAAGCTTCTGCACAAACGACCATGGCTCAATTCCTAGAATAAAACCACCAGATTGAGCTTAGGTGCTTGCAGCCAAAACAATAAGAGCAATAAACATTTCATAACTATCCACACAAGAACAAAGCTAGCTAAGAAAAACTAACCATATTCCTCCTTAAGTTTCCTTTTGTGATCCATTGACAAATAGAAAGATTGGTCGTGTATAGGATGGAATACCTGTTGCCAAATAAAACCATTTCTATCATGGGTTATTTCTGGCTTACGCACCCTAATAAAAAGAATTTTTAGAATACCACATGATACCTTATTTACTGGCTTATCATGTATATGTCTGAACTCGCTGAAATGCTGCCGAATATACTCTTCTAATTTAGGGACATCTTCTCTTCGGAAGATATCCCACAGAGCACCACCTTCTATGTGCTCTTTATCCATCATGTCGTCTTGGAGAGTAGCATGTTGTTTACCAAACATGCTTGCCGAATCATTTACTTTCTGAATATGCCTTCCTCTTCTTGTTTTCTCATTGTCCACAATTTGAGAATTTCTAGGGCTAGAAGATAAAGCATGTCTGCCGCCATGATGTTTATATGATGATCCCCTAGGCCTACCCCTTTTCCGACGATAAGAAATGACGCATTTTCCATCAATATTTTGATTATTGTCTTTGGGTTTTGAATCTGATGTTTCAAAAAATTCACTTGTTCTTCCTAGACTTAAATAATCATGATGATCTAAGTTTATTAATGAATCTCCCACAGTTCTAGCAGCTAAAGCATCTGCAGAACAGGTAGGCTGAACAACACTTGAAGAACATTTTTCACTGTGTTCAACACTTGAAGAACAATTTTCACCGTGTTCAACTTTGTGGCTACTCATAGAATGAAATCCTTTGCTTGAAATCCGAGCTTTATCAGCAAGCAAGACTAAATTTTGTTCACCCAAAGAAGGAGAGGAATCAGAAAGCTTTCCTTCAGAAAGGGCATCCAAATTAATGCCATCAAGCACCAAAGTAGCTTTATTATCTATTTCATGGATCTCACTATCAATTTTTTCATTATTAGAGCAAGATTTAGCACCACCAGCTAGCAACTGCTGGTCCTTGCAATTCGAAAAAGTACTCTGCACATCTTGATTGACCTCATTATCTAGTTTGATATCAGAGTTCTTTTGTTTATCTCTTTTTTGTCTTTTTACTAATTCAATTTTAGAAAGCTGGCCTTTCGTAAGGGGAACTTCTGTAGTGTGTGTTAGTACATTCACCTGAGAATTTATGGGAGACCCCAATCAGCGATATCAACAATGGAAAAAGAACGCATAAAAATTAACATTAAAAATTTCATATAAAGATGTTTCAAGAAGAATGAGAAATCAAAGATGTTTATCAAATAAAAATGGCATCACATAAAATATTTAAAAAGTTAGTCTTCTAGCATTTCAATGTAGTTCCATAATAATCACAAGAAATAAAAGAAAACGAAGAAAAACAAATGTGGAATAGAAAAAAAAAGAAATCACTTAATGAGCGTCTTTCACAAGCTTTTTGCTTCACCATAGCACACACAAAATAGACAGATGACTTTAACAAGAAATTTCTACATGAATTTGGCAAATTCAACAGGATAATTAGAAGAACAAAAACTGAGACGATAAAATATACATCTGTAAAAAACAGTAGATATAAGCCAGATTAAAACACACTGTATAGATTATTATACGAATTCCCAGATGAAAATAATGTAAACAACAAATAGATATCTCAATATTAACCAAAATAACAATTTGATCTTTAACTTTCAGAAGGGTGCACTAGGAAAAAAAAATACCTTGAAACATGTCCCTTCTAAATATTTTAAAAATCTGAGGTCATTACCGAAATAATATTATCATCCTTCCTTTCAGAAACTACTTATAATTTCTAAGCTTTAGTAATTGATGACAGTGACAATCAACAAAGATGTGAAGAATTCACATTGAATAACCATGAAATTAAACCAACAGACAAAATTGATCTGTAAAATGACTTCCATTTATAAAACTTTGCTACAAAATACAAAAAAAAAAGAATTGAACTAGAAGAATTTATATATCCAATTATCGACTGATATCCCCGTCTTAAACAAAATTAAGTAAATAAAATGATTAAGTACTGCAAGATATGGTGGTATTTAAAGAATGAAACAAGCTAACCAACAAGTAGAAATTCTATAAACTAAAAAAAAATCTGGCAATACCGCATCAGACATATCACAGTGAAGCTTGGTGACGGAATCACCAGACCCCAACTCTTCAAAGAATCCATAAGCAATGTATGTTTTTGGACCAAGGTCGGGTTTCAAAACACCATCAGGAAGCATCACAGCAAGATTTAGAAGGCCATCCCGAGGATTTGTATATTCTTGAAAAGGTAAAGTGGAAATGAACTCAGCACCATGACGTGGTAGACGTTCCTCAAAGGAACTAGAAGGAGGCCAATCTTTAAGTTTAAGCATCTCAGGCCAACCATCTCGATGATATCGCCCAGTAGAGTATCCATGGAAAAACATATGAATATTTATCTCAACCTGCAACGAAAGGAAGGCATCAAGCCATCAACCCATCACGACAGAGAGAAAAATTAAAAAGAATTTTACATGCATACCACACAATTCCTATATATTTACACATCTAACACCTACAGTTTTATATTTATATTTATAATGCATTGGAATTAAAAATCTATAAATAAAAATGTGTATTTCATTTTAAAAATTTAAAAAGAGTGGTAATGTTTTTGTGATGTTCGAGATATGTGTGTTATACATACAAACATAGAAGAATAGGCGTTGAATATGTAAATAGATAAAAATTGTGTAGCACGTACATAAAAGCTCCAACATTAAAATATAAATTTTTAATATATTCAAGCAACCGTTTAGTTAGCTGTGTTTATGCATCCTAACACCATGATGCATCAATAAGGCAAATGATACACGAATAAGAGTGTAATGAAGAGCAGTTAATAAAAAAATTCAGCAAGCAGTAACAGAAAAAAGGCCCTATACAGTATTTGAAGCAGTCTGTTCCATGTAACAGGAAAGGGTCGAGTTGGAGAGCATAATTTGATGATAAAAAAAATAAAAAAAAAACTATTATATAATAGGAAAATACATAAATAAATTGTAATTCCAAATACAAAAAAACATTCTTAACAAATAAATGGTTTAAAATAAAATGTCCACATTGAAAAAGCTATGTTTCAATTTTAAACAAGCAAATATAATCCAAGTTAGCAAACCATAGCATGAGATTAATCTTATCTTCACTATTATCTATTTAATTTTTGCATCACCCAAACTGCCTCCACAGTCATTAGGCTTGTAGTCAATCGCCTCATAATGTGGTTGTATATGCTTGAAGAACAATGAAAAATTTTGCATCAAAAAGGAATGCGCCCAAATACTTAGCACCTTGGCCTAAGTTTGAAAACACTACGAGCATAGATTTTAATTTACCAAATTAAATATAACCAAAACATGCAAATAAGAAAAAACTGTACAAATTGTTAGACATGTCAATGAAATTATTGAAGAACAAAAAAAAAATCAATATTAATAAATTAATCCACTCAAATTTGTAAAATATATTTGCTAATGAGAAAATGGCATGATGTTTGATGGTCAGCAATGTTGCCTGGAGACCTTTTTGGTAGAGATATGGAATGATGCTTATGTAATGACAAAGGTGATAGTCTTATAACACAAACATAAATTTTTATTTTGAAAATCTAGATCAGTCGTCAAAATTCTGAGAGGGTGAATAGAAAAGCACAAGATATTGTTGAAATTGCTATAGAAATAAGCCTGCCAACAAGATTACATGTGGTGAGCATTGACCCACCTAGAAGCGAGACAAATACAAAAACTAACCTCACACCAGTCCAGACAATCAATCGCCCTTACTTCAAAATTTTCAGATTTAACCTTTCTCACTTTCTTCTCCCGCAATGCACGCCACATAACCATTGGCTCCCAGCTCAATCCAGAAGATAGATCAAGTACATCACGAACAATAACAGGCTGACCTTTAGCCCAATGCTTCTGGAAATGCTCCGCTTCTCCCTCTTGAACATATCTAGCACTTGGACAATATAAAAGATTATCATCACAGCCTTCTCTAGATGCTGCCTTTCTTATTGCGACACTAACAGAATCATTTTTTTCTGACACACAGAAACAAGTGGAAGCTCCAGAGTTTTCATGCAACACTTTATGTTCACTGCTTTCAAGCCCAACAATGATGTTAGCCTTCTCTTCCAACATGAGAAGCATATTTTCTGAAAAAATATGCTTAAGCTGCAAAAGAGAATTGCCACAGCCACCGACTACTTCTGGCGGGCAAGGTATACTGCCATCATCATTTGCTCTCCATTGCATGAGTGCAATAAGAAAATTTTCATTGATATCAGCATTTATTCCACATTGTCCATTATGACCAGGCAAACAGCCTTCTCGAAGCCCTCGACAGCAAGATAAGCATAAGTCGTATGCACAACAAGGGCAGCTTCGATGAAAATCCACAATTGATGTGCTGCAGTAATTGCTGCCAAAACACAAGTGTTCCTTAAATTTACTTTGAGTTTCTAGCTTAAAGTAAATAGAAAATAAGCAATATCATAGGAAAAACAAACCAGTATATACGTTCGTCTTTCGCACAAGGAGCTTTTTGTAATTTTATTTCATTGAATGCAAGACCTGTTTATAAGAAAATTATTAGAGAAGACAAGGAGTCGGAGGGCAGATAAATTATGGTGAAGGAATATATCGCTACCTTTTAACCGAGCCTCAATTTCCTTTTCCATTTGTTGTTCCTTCTGCAGTTCTTTAAACCATGGAAGTAACAAACGTAATATATATAAATAATTCCGTCTTTGTTCCTCATCTTGAATTTCTCTTTTAGGAGGCTGTGATTGAGAGTTAGGCTTTCAAAAACTCAAATAAAATAATTGCTTGAAAGGAACAAAATAAAAGCAGGGAAAAAAACTTCACCTCAGAAATTCCTCTCATGCGTAAGCATGATTTGCAATTGCAATTGAACCGACAAAATGGACACTCAATAGAAAAGTCTTCAGGTGTCAACTGTGGATACCTGCACACCACCACAAACAACAATGAATACAATATAAAACATAATTCATAGCATACTATCCACAATGACTAAGTTAAAAAAAAATAAATAAATAAACATGTAATACATTTTACGGCAATGAACTAATGTTTAATAACGTCAAATGATAATGTTTAAAAAGGTCAAATAAGCACCAAGGCTTCAGCATGAAAATTTGAAGTGTTATTTGATGCAAAAACATCTCAATATTATACCTTGCAATTAAAAGATGGTATTTTTTTCTTCACGCCATCTTAGTGTGACATGCTCAAGTGCTAGAATTAGTGCTTCACATTACATTGATCTATTGGAGAACCTACTCCACCATCTTTGCTTGCACCTCTCCCTATTTCCATGCACCAACTTCTAACAATCACATAACCAATCAGTGCCCTTTTTGTGTCCAAACTAAAGGCGTACTTTCATTGCAATTTCTTTTCTGAATTGTAAGGTACAATAACAGCCTTTGTTTGGCAGTATTCTTAATCTAATTAATGGAATTGGAACTCCTCTGTAATTCAGAGTTCTGCTTCCTCTATATCCTTTGCAATATTTTCATCATTTATTCATAAGGAATGGTTGACCTATATGAGCACATCAAGTTTTTGTCTTTCATAGGCTCACAGATTCCATCCAACCTTTTCTCAATCCCTAGCAAAGTCTAGTTGAATGGATAAAGTTTCTAGTTGAGTTGGGTCCATTCAAAGAAGTAATTTATTGTCTTACTTTATATTCTAAAATCACATTATTGGTTGGCTACCACTAGCTTACTACTTCCTTGTTAGTTTTTACAAATTTTGTGGTGAGAACCAGTTTTTACAATCAAACCTATGTGATAGTTATAAGAAAAATATACATCTCTTCTCACCCCCCCCCCCCCCCCCCCCAAAAAAAATAAAAAAAGAAGATTTCAAATGCCTGCAATAGCATTTTTGAAAGCCGTTAACCCCACTACAACTTTATAATTATTTTACAAATAGTTACAATCGCCACAAACAGATACTTAGTATCCACAATTTCCCTCTAACCATAGGTATATTAAACTCTAAAAATAATATTGAAACAAATGATAATTGGGTACATAAGATTGACATCTTCACGTGTGATAATATAAAACCAAGTGCATTACTTGATCCATGAAATTGGAAACTTAAGAAAAAAAATGACATCATCCAATGCTGGCAGCAAAATAACATTAAGCTAAACAGCCACCCAGTTTAATGTAATGATTAAAATAGAAAATGATAAGTGCTGATCAAATAAAGAACTGAGATAGCTAGCTAGAGCAACTAGCACAATTCTAGTTAAGTATTTCATGTGCAAAATATATTAAAATTTAGATTAACATGAAGAAATCAAATCATTAATGATCAAAATTTCAGTAAATAATAATGATAAGCTGTAAGAATAACCTATTGCCTCAAACACACATGAACAATAGAGAAGAAGAGATCGGAGAAAGACATACCATCTCTTCATACACGGATAGCAATACCGTTTTCTTTTGCAAGTCATACATCTCACTACAGCTCCTTTGTCATTCCTTTGGCATTGATGGCACATTAGCGCATCTTCACCGGTCAGTAATTTTCTCTTAGAACCCTATAAACACAAACAGCAAATTAAAAGCTACATATCACAAAACAAAAAAAAAAAAAACAGCAGATAGCATGAAATAGGCCAGCATGAAAAGCTCATCACCTGATCGTTCTTTTCATAATCATAATATATGGGAGCTTTCCTCTTCCGATTCTTGACAGATGATGCAATCCCAGCTTCAATTTTGCCTTCATCACACTGCTATCAAATCCAACATTTTCTAATGAGAAAAGGCCAAAAAAAAAAAGAACAGATTCATACACATAAAAGAGTACAAAAGAAAATCAGCAACGGAGAAAAATGCCACCTTCAAAAATAAGAAAATGAAATAGTAAATAAAGAAGAATTGATTAAACTGAAAAACTCCTCGCCTGATCCTGCTTCTCAAACTCTAAGCTTGTCTTCCTCTTCTGTTTCCCTACCGAAGCCACAATCACCCCATCCGATCCATCTTCATTGAACTGACATCAAAATCCAACATTGTTAAAGAGAGAAAATAAAATAAAAAAACTTTTATACCCATAAAAAATTACACGAGAAAATCAGTAAGAAAGAAAAAAGCCGCCTTAAACAATACCAATAAAAAGTAGAAAATAAACAAGAATTCACTAAAGTGAAGAACGTATCACCTGATCCTGCTTCTCATCAAACTCTAAGCCAGCCTCCCTCTCCCTCTTCCTCTTCCTCTTCCTCTTCCTCTTCCCTACAGAAGCTACAATCCCACCATCCGATTCTTCCTCGTTGTACTGACGTCAAAATCAAACAGTTTCAAATAAGAGAAGGCCAAAAAAACCAGATTTATACGCATAAAAGATCACAAAAGAAAATCAGCAAGGGAGACAAATGCCACCATTGAAAAAAAAGGAAATAGCAAATAAACAAGATTGACTAAACTGAAAAACTCATCGGCTGGTCCTCCTTCTGAAATTCCAAGCTAGTCTTCCTCTTCCGTTTCCCTGCCGAAGCCACAATCCCACCATCCAATCCATCTTCGTTGAACTGACATCAAATTCCAACATTGCTAATGAGAGAAAATAAAATAAAAAATTTTAAACCCATAAAAGATTACAAGAGAAAACCAGCAAGAAAGAAAAAATGTCGCCTTGATAAATAAGAATGAAAAATAGAAAACAAATAAGAATTGACTAAACGGAAGAACACATTACCTGATCCTGCTTCTTATCAAACTCTAAGCTAGCCTTCCTCTTCCGCTTCCCAACAGAAGCCACAATCCCACCATCTGATTCTTCTTCATTGACCTGACAACAAAACACACCATTGTATAATCAGAAATGAGAAAGGGAGAGGGAGGTTTTAATCCAAATGTATCCACGAATGGTTAGCTCACCGCCTCTGCCGGTATTGCGACCTTGCCTTCAGATTCATCTTGATCGCACTGTTATAAGAAAACAAGTAAATGGAGTATTATATTAAGGAATTATCACTAGCTCCACAAACTTTAAAAAGAAATAATAGTCGCCACAGCAGAAAATTAAAAGCCCACCTTTGTGTCGCTCAACAAATCCCCGTATCTTAAATCTTTTATTTCAGCACCTGAACCATTCATCTCCTCCAAAGGCTGCAGCAGCCATTTTTCCAATTCGTCATAGCAGAAAACAAGATTTTCGAGCTCAAAGAGAGAAATTAAATAGAAAAAAAATCAAAGGATCTAAAAGGCAACGCAAATTAGAAAATAAATCGCAGTTATGGCCGTCACCTCAACCTTCACCTTGCCGCTGTAAGCAAAACTACTATCATCAGTCTTCTCCTTCCCCAACTCAGTGTCATTACAAGCCCTAAGAACCTTCGACGAAAACAAGTAAAATATATAATATATTCATAAATTATCACAACCTCAACGAACTTTAACAAGAAATAATCATCGCCTCAACAGAAATTTAAAGCCCTACCTTCGTATCGTCCAACCAATCCCCGCATCTTAAATCTTTTATTTCAGCCCCTGAACCATTCATCTCCTCCGAAATCTGCAGCTGCCATTTTTCCAATGCGTCATAACAGAAAACAAGATTGATGAGTTCAGTAAAAGAAATTAGATAAAAAAAATATATCAAAGGATCTCAAAGGCAAGGCAAATTAGAAAATAAATCGCAGTTACGGCCATCACCTCAACCTTCACCTTGCCGGTGGAAGCTAAACTATTATCATCAGTGTTCTCCTTCCCCAACTCAGCGTCCTTACTAGCCCTAAGAACCTCCATTGTTTCAGAATCCGACATTGTTGCAAACCCTAACCTCCTTCACTGCTCCCTCTAGTTTCTTCGTTCTTTCTGAAAGCTTCGGTTTTGGATTCGAAAAATGTCTTTGTCCGCGCAAAATAGAACGAACGCCAGCCAGGGGCTTTTAATTTTGAGATGGAACTGAAAACGGGGGTCGCGCCGTGGCGGTTGCAGGTAAAGCGGTATACTCGTTCCTGTGAGCAGAAAAAAAAGGGATAATTACGTACGGATCACGCCAAAGATCGATACTTATAAATTAATCATGTTTGTTAACTCCCAAATATGTTTGCTAAAATGAAAAATATAGATTAGCATTTTATCATTAATTTTAAAATTTGAGTGGAAATTTAAAAAGTGGGCGGCGATAGCAGTTAATTTGTAAATAGAAGAAAGTTGTCACCGCACCTAGACAGACGCGATGTGATTTCAAAACGCATTAGCTGTCAAAAAGCAGTTTACCCAAACAGTTCAAGTGCGTTTTCAAAACGTCACCGTATCAGATAAGCTGTCTCAAACAGACCCTTAATATTCAGTCTTCATGAATAAAATGAAGGATTAGATTTTTTTAATAAGTTATATTTTATGGAAAAATTTTATTCTAGTAATTTTCCAAACCTTCACTATTAATATGAAAGATTTACATGTATACCACCAATTTCTTATGTATAACTTATATACCACCTAAAGTTAACCTTTTATATTTACACCACCCAAATCTTTTATATCACATAAAAAATATAATTATAAGAAAAAAAAAACAATAATGCTCTTATAAATATGTGTAGTTGCAATTATGCAGTTCCAACAATAATTCTAACAAATAACATAATTAAGTTTACTTATGATATTACATCAACTTTAATACATCACTTAACACATAATAAACGATAATAAAGATTATAATAACAATAAGTAATGTTATTATAATATTGTTTTTCATGTCCAAACGATCAAGACTTCAGGAGATTTTCTTTCTAATATTTCTCTCCATACAATATAATTATTTGAAGTCAATTTCTCATTATCATCAGCTCATCGAAAAAAATTAAAATTGTCATTTATTTTATTTATGGGACAAGAATAAAATCTTCTCTTATAACTACCTTCTCCTCTAGAAATATACACAGAACATTGCATTTCGCAATTGTTGTAAAAACTCTACAAACATTTGAAAGCCTTGAACACATTTTTACTCAGAATGCAATATTTAATGCTTAATTGAGAAATTAGATTATTTGTGCAATAAATAAAGAAATAATTAAGGATTCATAATTAATATAAAGAAATATATACAATAAAAAATAATCAACTTTAATGTTTTGACATAAGAAATATGTGACTATCACGAATACTTTATTCTCTTCCTATCATTATAGAGGCAAAACACATGTTGAAGTCGCATAACGTTATTGTATCCTGTGTGGGGATCCACAACATCTAATATATGCAATCTTATTAATTTTTGTAAGCATCAACAAAAAAATGTGTGCATCGACATGAGTGTCATCAATCACTCATATAAAATTTTGTTTAAAATATTTATGAAGATAATTAAAGTTTAGTAAAAAAATGCATGCAAAATCAAATAGATAATATTGTGATGCTTCGAATAACATGTATCTCAGATCGTTATAAATTTCTCTTGATGTATACTTACATGTCTTTTTTATGTTTAATTTCTTTTACATTTATCACATTTTTTTGAATGAAATTACGCTTTAAAGAAATGTTATTTTCATATTTATCTTGCAGGTATAACACTTGGAGCGGATTGAAGCTGAAACAGGGTGAAACATATGCAAATGAGAGAAAATGGGGGTGCTGCCATTAGAGTGGTACCTAGGCACTAGTCTCCGCTCAAAAAACAGAAAAGAAGTAACCGCAAACTGGCGCCTATGCACCCGAACTGTCCGAGGTTGGTTTTTGCACGTCCCGATGAGTTATTTGACGGATCTAGGTGTTTGGAAAAACACTTTTTTGCATTTCTAAGTTCTGACATTCTCCAGGAAGGCCGAGAGGTCATAGGTAGGAGTAGGAAATATAGATTTTTATCTTTTCTGGAGAGACTGCTGAGGAGATTTTTAGAGATAATTGTAAGGGATTATATTAGCATTGCATGGATTAGCAAGATACTTTGTTTGAGGGATTTTCATCTTTCTTTCGGGGGGAAAAGACAAAGTATTGTGCTCTTCATTAACTTAGATTTTTTGTAAAGACTTATCTAGTGGATTTGCTTTTATTTAATGAAGTTTTCTGTTATGTGTGACACCTGTTTTATGAAGTAGAATTCTTGTATTTTTCTTTTGCAATGAATTGGATGAATGTTTAAGATGTTAGGATGTATGTTAGAATAGGTTTTTCATATCATGGTGATGGTTCTTACTTCATGCTTCATTTACTAATCAATATGGCCAATTGGTATGGTAAAATTTGTTGTAAACACATAAGTTCCGGGAGGGCTATGGCTTTAACAACTATGAGGAACCACATTGAACTTATGGGTGAAGGAAAAGTAGTCCTAAGATTCAATGTAATGTTAGGGAGATATTCGTTGTTGGGTGTAGATTGGTGTTTCTAGAGTGAAAGGCTAGATTTCTAACCAATTTGATTCAGGGCTTCATACCTTAAATCTAAGATTAAGCCAATTAGAGGGTAATTAGGAGAAGGAGACTCTAGGGTGACAGGCTAGAAGTTTCACCGTGATACTCTAGTTATTTTAATAAATCGACCCTAGGTTAATTGAGCTACATTATACACTCAGAAGAGGCTAACTTAGATTTTTGCTCCTATTGCCACTGCCCATATTAGATTCTAAGCATCTCAGTACTACACATTATCTAGGTCACCACAAAAGAAAGATAGTTTTTACTGCTCAAAATTCACTAAATCAATTTATCTAGTTATGTTTAACTTTAGATGTAAATTTTTATTTAGGAGTAGTTGTTAGAAAAACTCTCTTAATCAACATTTCAAACTAAGACCTGATAGTAGTTGACAAGAACTCAAAATTCACTAAACCAATTTATCTAGTTATGTTTAACTTTAGATGTAGATTTGTATTTAGGAGTAGTTGCTAGAAAAACTCCCTTAATCGACATTCCAAACTAAGACCTGATAGTAGTTGACTAGAACTTACGCTATGGGATTTCTTACCTCGCTTCTCTGTGAGATTTTAATCGGGACTCCATAAGAGCCTTATATTACTTAAATGATATGTATACTTGCGTAGAACCCTTAATATGTAAACTATAAATCAAATTCTAAACTCTATAATATATCCATTTTGCACATTAGTCGCCTAAAGAAACTCGGTCAAGTTTTTTGCCAAGAAATTAAATAACTGCGTAACTACGGATCGGGTCATATACTCAAAAGTGGGATCTATCAATTTGATAATTGCAATTGACAATATAGCCAACTAATTAAGCTTGATATGAAAATATATGTTGATAGTCATGTTTGAGTGTTAAAATTGCTCAGAAGTAACACACATCAACACATTATATGATAGTATATATAATGTAATTGTTAATGCTTCCTTAAGTGTAAATATGGATGATACATGTAAATCATAATGATTTTGCAATTCATCCAGTAAATCACCAAAAAAAATGTATTTTGAAATTTGAAATCTGTTACAAATTATATCCAAATGATATTTAAGGAGCTCACTAATTTATTCGTCACCTAAAGAGAAGAATGACTTGTATGATGTCTTAGATAAGTATGTTTAATAGTATTCATTGATGAGATATATTGTAGTTACCAAAATTATTGTTTGTTGTACTATCTCTTTCATTTTGTCTTCCTTTAATGGATTCATCATATTACTTTATGCTTGTCAAAATAGAAAAAAATTACGAACTTGATGATAAATGAACAACTGAAACTCTAAAAATTTGAAGAATGTTCAAATAGTAGTCACACGAACAAGAACAAAATATAAGCACAAAAATAAATTAATTACTGAAATAAAATAAAAACAAAGAATATATCTAAGTAATAACATATAAAATAGAAGTCACATAAACACACAAAGAAAAATTGTTCAAATAGATGACCAACTTATTAAAAAACCAAACATAAGCACAAATAATCACAAAGAGTTGAATTGGTCTGACTTTTTTAAGAAATAACGAAGGTAACTATGCATCCACTTTGGAACCATTGTAATAAAAGCCTCCTACATCATTGGTCTTTACGTTGTTTTACGAAGAATAAGTATAACGACATATCCTTGACTATTTGAGATTGCAGTCCATTAACTTGATGACTTATGTCATTGTAGAGTATGTGTGGGCAACTATAAGAGTAATGGGTGTCATACTTATACAAGTTGTAGGTAATTGTTAAATTATAAGTTAAAAATTCGGCAATGATATTTTTTCTTCTTAGTTTGTTAGTTTGGCAGTGAATAATGTTTGAATTGAGTTAAATCACTAAATTTTGCCTTCTGGTGGTTCTTCACAAACCTCATTTGAATGAGTAAATTCAGGCTTGATGCATTATAGAAAATTCACAACGATAGAGTAATGGATTATTGTCTTAGCCTTGCATAAGAATTCAACACACACTCAGGCAAAAGAAAACACCATTTAGTTGGTGCATTCTAGTTCAACTGACCCTTCTGATGGTGTCTTGATTAACTGAGGTTAAATTTAATGAATACCTTTATCATGCAGGAAATTTGCACTTGTCCCTCACATCTTGTTTAGTGACCCATTTTAGAATTGAGCATGTTTCATCCGACCTAGATGACTAAGACAATTATGCTCATCCTGCTCACCTCATATGAGTGTGGTATTCCTTTCTAAAGGATATGTTTGGGTTTTGCTTTAGGGCTAAATACTCATTTGGTCGGTCGCTCTATCTCCTTAAATTGTGTATTACTGTTGAAACCTGGAGAATATGTAGATCTATAATTATTATTCACTTGGTTGTTCCAGTTTCTCAATGGGTTTACTTAATTGTTCCCCCATTGCTGACTATTACCACCCGAAGTACTATTCCAGTTAAAGTTAGGATGGTTCTTTCAACTTAGGTTATAATAATTTGAATATGAGTTATTCTTCTTGTTATTTATAGCATTCAAAGTTTCTAATGATGCTTCAGAATCTACCATTTGACCTAATGAGTTCTCTTCAATTATGATTCTCGTTAGCAATCATGACTTACCTCCTCTGAGGGACTCCCGTAAATTAAAAA